TGTCATTTTTAGTGGGGCTGACTTTGTTAAAATCTTCATCGCCTTGATAAAATTTCAATGAACTAATCATTAAAAATGGTTGAATGGACAGATGCTCAAATCCGTATACTTATCGATGAGCGTAGAAACAGAAATGATGAATATCATAATCTTGGAAGGAATCGAATCAGATTTTGGGATAGCATTGCAACCAGGATTAATCAAGAGCTTAATACAAGCTTTAAAGGGTACCAATGTAAAGAAAAATTTATGAATCTTATTCGGAATTACAATGTAAGTATGACATCGTAAGAATTTTATTAATTGTATCACGTGCAGAAAGGCCGGAATTATGCCCGTCTTCTCACATATATGTCGAAGCCAGATTATTGTAGTTATCAATATATTATTGCATAGCAATGGGACTTTGTCCCTATCTTCAATCAGATAACTATATATCTTTTTTCGAACGTGAGAGAAAAAAGGAAAAATACGTGGCACCGACAAGTACATAGAGATTTTCTCTACGAACATAAATAGACCGGCGAAATACAAAAATGGATTGATCCCCGAAACAATAAGCGATGACATCTATAACCGGAAAAATATTCGTTAGCATATATACACGAATGTGGGGATGTCGACATACATTAACAGAAATTCCTATTTTTCTGGCTTCGAGGCTTTTTCCTCTCTTGTTCGGAAAAAGATAATGTGTTAAGAGCAATGGATAACGACACGTTGATTCATATATTTATCCCGACAATGAATGTAATGAATGTAATGAATTGGCGGAGCGAAAAGACGGGGATATTGTCTTGAGAGTATGAATTTTTTATTATCGTGGATATGATTTGTTAATTGTTTTATCCCCTTAGTTCGTGAAGGATACATCAAAGAATTCCTCGACCTTTTTATAAAAAAATCAGACCAGAATTTATTTATGGACTGGGAGGTAAAGGACCAGAAATTGCCAGAACTTTTTATTGCAGAGCAATGGGTAACCCTACACTTTACGTCGGCAAGATCTTTTAATTAGGCCACGATCATTTGTTTTCGTCTTGTTAACTCCGGGACGTGAATAAGCAACAAGGTAATAATACATAGCCATGCTAGCTTCAGCTAATAAAATATCACCGATCTTTGTTCGTATCACCAATTCAACAATGATTACAAATACGTACTGTTCACTCGATATAGTATAGTTTTTGTGGATACTGAATTAACCCGCATTTTCGAAGTAGGAAATGAAAATATACCGCTTATTTTAGTATTCTCTTGATCCATCAATCTTCATTTTTTAAACAAAATACAAATTAATAAAATCACGTGCCGGAACGCCGATCACTTTTTGCCAAAAGTAAGATTGTAAGAAAATCTAGTCGCATGAAATTTATTGTTTGAAATAGGCGGTAATTTTACTAACCTTATTGCAGTACATTAAAAATCATTACAAGAATAACATGAGGCAACAACAAAAAATAATTACAAATTTCTATATGTATAATCCTCTATCACATTAATCGAGGCAAAATGCGAGAAATCATGTAAAGTCCTTTTGGGAAATAAAAATTCTTCATAGGTATCCTTGTTTTTGCATTCGCTTGTTCTTTGCTAATTTGATTCACGTTGCACATTTGTCCAAGGGAAACGGTATGGATGCTTTTGACTTTATTATTATTGGCTATAGCGGATCTGTATGCTCTTCCAGCAAATGGTCCAAAATAGCTCGTAAAGGTATTTTTATCTACAATTCCAGACCTTTTCGGAATTTCAATGTTGCAATTTGCAGTTGTAAAGAGGATGAAAAAATCATTTTCCGATGCTGATTTTTCACGTTCCTCTTGGTACTCCTTTTTACTGACCGCTTTTTTTCGTAATTTAAATTGGTGGACTTCATTCGGACTCTCGGTACCCGGTTGATCTAATGAAAGGAATGAATCTCCATATGGTGAAGATGGGGCATTAATGATACAATGTTTGAACTGTCGGACATCAACGGTGGAATTATAGCATTCAACGTTTGCAGTGAGATTTTTAGATTTTGTGTCTGTATGGTGTTTTGCAATTTCAAGTCGTAGATTGTGGTTTTTAAATTCGATATCACCATTCAAACGTGCTCCTCCGTGAACCTCTGAGATGTTTATTAGTTCATCCTCTTCAATTACGGCTGACTTTATACAACGAAATGACGCAACAAATCTTTCAAAACTCTGCCATGACTTAGGTTGCAATGATGTTATTGGATTCAGAAGTGCTCTTTGCTCCCCATAATCATCAAATTCCCAATCTCGAAGTAATGGATCCCCTCCTTCACGAGAAATCTCCACAAATATCCAAAGCCAGATGTATGGTGCAGTGATAAATCCCCTTTGCCTACTACTTTTTAATGGTTCGAATCGAATCAATCCACTTCCAACAAATTCGTCTGGTGTTTTGTTAGTTTTGGGAATAGGTTTATATCTATCTAAGAGACGTCGAGTCAATATTGCTCGTGCGATTGGCCTAGCATCTTCAACAGAACCAAAAATATCATCACCGTATCTTTCAGTAAGGTTATGGCGCAGATCGTTCATCAAAGTATTGACGTTGCATTCTTCAATGCTATGACCAGCCAAGCATTCATTCAGAACTTCTAGAGCCCTTCCATGCCCTCCACAGTCTTCCACGAGAATATTAGAAATCTCATCATTTTTAAAGACTGGGACCAAACTATCTCCTTTTCGATAGCTTGGGGGCTGTAGAGAGGTGACCGGTAGGCATACACGTTTCCGCCTTGAATATTTCAACATACCATCAATCGGCCCAGTGATAGTTGAGGTGCAAACGGATATCACGAAAATGCCACTAAATGCAAGATCAGCGACAGATGTCATAGTCATGTAAAACCGAGAATCTAACTTTAAACCATCATCTTTGTTCTGCATAAGTTGTTGCATGCCGTCAACAACCAAAATGACTGTAATGTCTTTCAAGTTTCGGTTATAATGTTTGGCAATCAACGTCACAACATCCAACGGATCTGGTGGCTCGTATGTCTCGATAATTTTATTAAGCGTCATTTTCTCTCTGAGAAGTTGAAATAGCATACGGGTACCAATGGCATGATAAGGGCGAGATTCATCTTCTCGTAAGTCAAAGCCATTCTCATAGGTGACATGGAATACCCAAGCTTCTTTAATCCTAGTCAACAGCTCCTCATCTTCTTGAGCTGACAAACATGTGATTGCCGTCTGGTGGAATTCATTAGCGTTTCGAGATTTTCCGGTACCAGCTCCAGAAAGGAAGAGATATAGCGGAAGATTCAATTTGTCAAAACGCCCTAAAATAAAATTCTCATAATGATTTTTAAGCTCCCTTCGCAAAATCAGCTTCAAAGATGGGTCAGGTTGATATTCCCAATTAGCACCAGAAGTGTAAAGCAAAGGTTTTGGTTTCACATATGGCAACCCTGGCATATAAATAATACGTCCGATCGGCCTCAGCATAAGAACGACGAGTTTTTTTTGCAGAAATTGCCTAATACATACCTCCAGGAAAAGCATCAATGATTTTTTTCCCAACTTCTGTGTTGGGGGTTTTGAGGATAAGGAGCAGTAAATAAAAAGATTATATATTCGATGTCACATAATAAAACGAAAAAAATGGGTAACGAAAAACCCAGCAAGGTCACATTGTATAAATTTATTACGACTCACTTACCAGCAACAGATTGCTCTACGATAACGCGAATGTGTTTTTGGGGCGGGTTTGACGATAAGAAGCAGGAAAGAAAAGCACATGAATAAGTAAGTATTCGGTATTATTGGTGAATATGACACGATTAAAAGAGAACATACCAGGCTTTAGGAGACCTTTCAATAAAGCAACTACCTCTTCATCATTACAGGTAGGAAGGATGAGTTCCGTTTCAGCTTTTTTTTCTGGATTGTTAATGAAGAAGGTGCGTAGAGCAGTTCTTTCCTCTATTGTGAAATTAAGGCTTTTGATTGCTTCATAGACGTTAGACATGGTAGTACGGCACGAATAGATGGAATTGGAAAAAAATTTTGGGAAATCGAATGTCGCACAGATCTGACTTATCAGTCTCATATTCCACAATCACGTGGAAACCATTTTATGCTTTCCGATATACAAGAATTTAACGCAACCCAACTAAGGTATGCCTGTTTTTCATACAATTATATAGGAAAAAAATCTATCGTGTCTACATCGCACCCTCATCATACCTTCATCGTACCTATATTACATCTCGGTTATGAGAATATAAAAGGAAAATTGTATATCGGATTTGCTATCTCGGACTGGGCATTACGTCCGAAGGCGATAGGCGAAAAAATGTCTTATAACCGAAAATTTGGTTTCACGAATGTCGGTTAATATAAAACCTTACATCTTTATTCCATAAATGACCCATTAATTAATATGCGCGGATTGAATAACGATATTCCGATTTTGTATAGGTCTCACCGGTGTTTAAATCATAATAATAACCTTCATCATCGTCAGAAAATCCACAGAACCCATCATCATCAGAGGATTCCGAGTTAGAATCTAAAGAATCATCGGGTTCATCTACCTCTTCCTCCAGTAAATATTCGGCTTTCTCGCTTATATTATTATCCTCATTTACAGTTTCTGGTTTATCCTTTGAAATTGCTCCAGTAGATATGCTTACCTCTTCCTCCGGTAAAGATTTGTTATCCTCATTCATCATATCTTCCGAATTGGAGGTATGAAACAATGGGACAGAGGGAATGAATGTAGTGCTTACCTCTGTTTCCAAAAATTCTGAATCTTTATTTTCTTTTTCGCAAGAAATTTGCTGATCACTTCCTGAACTCGGTTCAGGGAATTCGGATTTTAGGGTGGGTGATGTGAAACATCGAATCTTTGATTCTTCTATCTTAATACTATAATCAAATGTTACGTTATCTATAATATATTGAATATCTCTATTTGTCATTTTCGAGATACTATCAGCGGAAAAGGAATGTATTCGATAAATTTTATCCATACCTATTACACTGAAAAGTTTGTAGAGCTTTTTAGCCTTTTCGATTCTCTTCCATAAAAGCGCGTCAGAAATATTTGCAGGGAGCTGAGCGCGAACTTCCTTATTTAAAATTCTACTAACTGCATTAGATTCCGGATCAACTTGTTTTTCTGATGCCAATTCACTACGTCTTTGAATGAGAGCTTTACCAAAATTACAATAACAGAAGATTGCTTCTTGGGTTTTACGGTCAGCGAGAATTATAGCATTACAAAGTTTTTCGTATAAAAATGTGAAGCTAATATTGCTGGGTTGAGATGATGCGAAGCATCGAGTCTTTGACTCTTCTGTTTCATTCAGGGTTGTAGGTATCACATTACTGTCTGCATTGCTATTATTAATAGACGAGCTAGAGTTTTTAGAAACTTCTACCACGAATTTCTGTACTTTGTTTTTATTATATTGTGAAATATCTTTATCATATGATAAAGGATCTTGAGATCCAAGCTTCTTTTCTCTATTTTTCTCTCTTATTATATTACTAACCCTTTCCTTTTCTTTTAGGTCTAGAAATTCATTGATCACTTTATCTTCTGAAGATTTGTTTCCTATACAAATTGGTGATGTGGAGCATTGACGTGAACCAACCTCCAGCTGAGTCTTTGTCCCCTGACATATGTCGGAATTTGAAGTATCATCAGTTATATCAGATGCGGGAGTGTCTTCACATCGTAAGTTTATCTGTTCACTATTATGATTTGTTTCAGGGGATACAGAAAAATCAGATGTTCGATACTCTACATCATCAGATGTGTTATCAGTATATCCATTACCCCCTGTTTTGCAAGCTTTGCTCCTTGATTAGTGAGACATCATGTTTCAGTTTAGCGATAAGATCAGTTTTTTCCCTATCTCTCTGCTCTAGATTCAAGAATCTGGCTTCAACTTCTTCTTTGTCTCGTTTTAATTTTGCATTCTCAGCTTCGACTTCGATATTATTAGCTTCAAGCTCAGCATACTTCTTTCTTAGTTCGCTAATCTCAACTGTAAGCTTGGTGTTTAATTCTCTTAGCGAAACAATTGTATATTGTGTGTCTGCCATCGTTTTATATAAGGTGCGGACATATTCAATTCTTTATTGTATAGATATAAATCACATGATAAAAATCACTGAACTTAGTTCAGGAAGTGTAAACGCCAAAATAAATTTTGAGGAAAATATCGCACATAAAAATTAATTATCGGAAAAAAGACCATTTAGGTCTGATTGCTTTATTAATACAATATAAAATACATGTGAAGCGGGATCTGCTATTTTTTGGTAAATTTTTCGATCCTCGATCTCTTACTGTTTGGGTAATTATCTGCTCTAATCCGATCCTTCAATAATCCAACAATAACACCTAACACCCGTTTTACGCCTTTTCGAATAGAGTCACGATCCTCCTCGAGCGCCGTTTTAGAGAGATTTATTTGATATTCGCTTTTACTGGTACAATAAAGACCATCGGTAGCA